TTGCTATGGGGTGCCCTTGAGGGCCTAGAGGGGCTATCCTCTCTTGAGGGGGAGGCCTCTCGGGGGCCGCCGGGCCAGACTTGTCTACAAGACAAGGCGCAGATTGGGACACTGGGGACTCAGGTTCAGCAGCGTTGGCCAACGTCTTCAGTTCCAGCACGGTGTCTACCTGGTACGGCTCCACGTCACATCTGGGTACAGTCGTTAAGCGGACGCGCTTGCTGTGCTATGGGTGTCGGGCTACGGCCCTCCCAGGTGTGTTCGTTACTGTCCTGTTACCGACGGGGTCAGGCAGTGCTAGGAGTGACGGCCCACGTGTTTTTTGCTTGACGACGAATTATCCTTACGGCCCATCGCTGGTAGTCGGGAGTTACCTAGTGTGGGACGCCACTAGACGGGAACTCTGGGAGACGGCTCCTCTGAGTACGACCCACCGGCTGCCAGTTCGTGAGTATTGGCCGCAATGACTCACACTGAGGGTGACGGAGGCTACATGACGACGACTTTGTGAGTCGGGCTGTCACGTTAGGAGTTTCGGGCATCGCTCGCGCAAAAACGGGCAACGCCTTTGTAACTGAAGTCAACTTCTTGTGGCCTATCCCCTAAAGGCTGGTGCCAAAGAGCTGTTGCTGCTGTGTACAGTCTGCAGCGCTGCTCTTCTTGACTTAGGCCCTTTTTCTTTTAACGTTTGTTGCATCGGCTCCTCTTTTTCCTTCACTGAGGATCCTATAGGGGTTGCGCGGTCTTCTCTGTTGGTTTTGTTAGGTCAGTTCGTTTTGGCTTGTTTTACGCGAGGCCTCGGGGCCTGACTTCGGTCGTAGTGCTCAGAAACGGATGAAGGAGGTACCTGCGATTCTCGCATGGGCAGTCCCCTCGCGCAAAGCGCCAGTCTGTTTCTTTTTCTTTACAAGGCCGCCGGGCGAAGACCGGGTAACCTCTATAAGACTGTCGGCAGGTCAGATCCTAAGGGAGTGGTGCTAGCTTATGGCTAACCCGGTGGCGCTGGCTCACGGCACACTCGGGGATGGCACGCTTCCGAAGTTTCTGCTCGCCCGCAATGAGCAGAGCCCGCTCGCTCAGCGTCCAATAATAATAATAATTGTTGTTGTTGTTGTTGTTGTTGTTAACTTGTTATTGTTAGTCTCCTTGTTCGTCTTGTTCTTCTTGTTATTATTTCTCTTGTCCTCCTCCTCCTCCTCCTCGTGATGGTGCGCTGGTCGGTAATCAATGGGAGCCTTGGTTCTCGGGATGGCTTGGATTGCTACTGAATAATTAGGGCCAATTAGGGTTCAGGGTTTAGGGTTTAGGATAAAGTCCGGGAGCTTTACTGAACGGTATTGTGAGCTTCGAGAAATAGGGGGTCTGCATTGCTTGGTACAAATACCTCCAGAAAATGAACACCCCGTTGATAGTCGTTGCGCAGCATGTGCCGGAACTGCAACTTCCCACACGAGTTTGCGAGTCCTCGTGTACTTCCCTGCGGCTGCTGCTTCGGGTTCGGGTTGGATCAAGACGACCCGATTCCCCCCTCCCTGCATGATTCCTGTAGCGAAAGTCCTTGGATGAGGCATCTGTTTCACTGCGGTCTGTTCCCTGGGCATCATCATGTCCATCGGCACCACTGCCGCTGGCCTTTGGTTGCGGGTGCTTTTCGGGACGTAGTCCTCTAGGCCATCTATGACATTCGTGTTCTGAGGACATCAGGAATGATATGTCGCTTCAGTAAGGTTCAAGGTTGGTTGTGCTCACGAGCATGGATACTTATCACCGACCTGATTGGCACTGTGGTGGTTGGTCATCATCCGAAACCAAACTTTCATCTTCCTTCGAAGCCTCCTTCACCCCGGCACTTCAGGGCTTTCAGGGCTTGGGTTTAGGCTGCACCATGGGTTTAGACACAGTTAGGGTTGATGAATGCCCGACAATGGAGGGTTTGTTCATGCACGGGGAAGTAGCTCTTCAGAAGACCCAGAAACCGCAGTGCTGTTTCGGATGGTTTTTTCTGGCCGAAAGAGCTCGTCATACCATCCGTCAGTGTATGCATAACTGATCGTACTTGTAACGCTGAATTAGTAGGCTTTCCATTTATTATAGTTGTACATATACATATATGTACGTAGGTAGGTAGGTATGTATGTATGTATGTCGGTAAGCGTGCATGTATGTTTGCATGTATGTTTATATATGTGGTATGTATGTGTACTTCTTCACACGCATACATGCACATATACTATTATATACTCACCAATAAAGAGACGGGTACATGTGCTCATGTTCTATCCTCCCTTGATTTCGATTGCTTATCCACTCCGGCACTGCATCATAGCATGGCTGTCTTACATTAGAACCACTTTTATCCTGCACACATCTTCACACATACATATATATATGGGTACCCCCCTATATGGGGTCCCCTGGGTTTTGGCACACCCAAACCACTAAACCATTAAACCATTAAACCATTCCTTTTGCTCCATACCACTAAACCAATAAACCATTAAACCATTAAACCAATCCTTTCCCCCAATGGACCCAAACCAATAAACCATTAAACCATTAAACCAATCATTTCCCCCAATGGACCTAAACCATTAAACCAATAAACCATTAAACCATTAAACCAATCATTTCCCCCAATGGACCCAAACCACTAAACCATTAAACCATTAAACCATTAAACCAATCATTTCCCCTATAGAGAGAGACACATCCCTGTATGGGCCGAAAGCATTGGTTTAATGGTTTAATGGTTTAGTGGTTTAGTGGTCTAGTGGTATGGAGCAAACGGATTGGTTTAATGGTTTAATGGTTTAGTGGTTTAGTGGTATGAAGTAAAGGGATTGGTTTAATGGTTTAATGGTTTAATGGTTTAGTGTTTTAGGTGCATTGGGGGAAAGGATTGGTTTAATGGTTTAATGGTTTAGTGGTTTGGTGGTATGGGGTAAAGGGATTGGTTTAATGGTTTAGTGCTATGGGGCAAAAGGATTGGTTTAATGGTTTATTGGTTTGGTTCCATTGGGGGAAAGGATAATGGTTTAATAGTTTAGTGATGGGTCTAGGGCTGCCTACTACGCAGGTGTCCTGGTTATAACCGGGGACAGAGGTTATAACCAGGCTGCAAAATACGTTCAGGGTTTGAAGACTCCCGCCGTGCCCTATAGATCAAATGGATTGGTTTATTGGTTTGATGGTTTAAGTCTTCCGTGTCGTATCGCGCAAGCGAGCCGGTATAATGGTTTAAGTCTAAGTCTCCCCCAAACCCTAGCGCCAAACCCTAAGCAGTAAAACCCAAACCCAACACTTGATGGTGAACCTGCAATATTGGTAAACTGTGTCGAAACACCGGGGGGCTTACATACCAGGGTTGTGGTTTGTAAATTGGGGTGCCTTGATTGTTTGTTGCACAATATAAACCTTACGAAGCAAATCTGTGCCACCGCTACTTCATCAACACCTAGACCTAGATCCAAACGTTCGAAAGTTTCGGTGCTTCAGGGGAAATGTAACCGCAATGAAACTAAACAAGGACTAGAAGAAGGTCCGAGGTAATTGGCATGTATTCGGTTGTTGAGGCATGATGCAGTGCTTTGTAACAAACATAATTCCGGGGGCCATATGCGCATTCCCCAACTTTAGCGGAAAGGCTATATGGCGGACTTTACATAATGGTCTGTCCGTTCCAGTACATCGGGCTTATGAGATCTATGTACACATTGAGAGAATAGCCGCTAACATGTCAATGACCCAGGAATCAAAATGCGGAAGATGAAGGGTCTCTATCGGGATTACAGTAGGTCAGTAAGTGTTGTCAACATTGGAATATCACGGTACACAAAAAGTTGAGATACGACTGATACGACGTCATTGTAGGGAGAGATAGTATATCAAAGCTTACAGCGTGGTCAGGTTTCATCACTTCGTACATAGGCGAACTGGTTGCAACGTTATGTTCAAACATCGTTCCAAGGAAGCAGGATTTCGATGAGACAAAACTGATAAGAATATGTGTGGTGAGCGATTTGCAACTTGCAAACTGTTAGGTTTCCTCGCTCGGTACGTAGAAAATTCCTTGCAATGCTATTTCCAACTACATGGATGTACCTCTTTCGAGGAGTGATTCGGTGTGTGTTTACCACTTTTTCTAAAACGAGGAGCACGTTCTGGATTGGGAACAATGGCTTCTGTTCGACCTTCAGGAAATATTCACAAGAACACAAACAGAAATTCGGACAAGCTAGATGTAGCTTTATGGTTTTCAGTGAGCTTTACGTGATGGTTAAGGTATGCTGATACAAAAAGCACAGGCCTCATCACTGAGCATATAGAAACAGTGCCAAGCCTAAGAAGCGACGCTTCATGTCGTCCCCCAGGAAAAACACTGTACAAAGTTTGCCAAGCTTGTAGTGTGCAAGTTTTCAAGTTTGGCTTGGGGCAGCCGTCATACAGAAATAAGGAATGCACCACTCAAATATACCTACCGGATATACCAGTGTCTACAAGCAATCACATAGGGGCACAGGGATATGTCATTGAAAGCTATCAGTTTGCCAAAACGTCATAGCAATGCGCCCAACAACAGAGACTTTGATGGGATTGCGGCATTACAGTACAAAGATGGAAAACTTTTCGTTCCAAAATTTAGTTCGCGATAAGGAATGACTGAACCAGACTAATGACTACAGCACGCGTGTTGGAAAAAACTGAAATATCGATAATGTATACCTGATTATAAATTATTCGAACGGTTATAACCTAGTCGGCTGGTTATAACCTAATCGGCTGGTTATAACCTAGTCTGGTGGTTATAGCTCAGTCAGATGATGTAGCGAAAAACGTAGGGGACCCCAAATAGGGGTGCGCCCATATATATATATATATATATGTATATCTATATATATATATATATATACACAAACAGGCAGTGTTTTCGGCTATCTAGTTTAAAACTCAACACTCCCAGGCAGCCCTCGGCCCATTGACGGCACATGTTTCCCTGAAATATGATACACAGATAACACTCTCATATCAATATGCGTTGTGTCAATGCTTCTTCTACATGCAATAGAGAGACTTTCAGCGCACCACGGTGTTACTCTGAACGATGGCTAGTGCCTGAATCTCGCTGCGAACCAAAGGAAATCTTCGGTCAGATTCTTCTCTCAGGTCCGGCTCCAGGTAAGCTTGTACCGAGAACTCTGCCACCTACCTCGGAACCCTGCTAACAAACACTTTCGACGGAATCGGCGAGTCGGCGACTGCATAGCTACATGAATCAGTTTGAAGTTGTTCTGGAATAATGCCACCAACAGCATAAAATGGAAAACTCAAGCATTCCCTGCCGTCATCCGTTCCAATCTACTCTACGGGTGAGAATGTGCGCAGCTAAGTAGCGCTGAACTCTACACGATTATGGATGTTCTTTCGAGCACATGGCTCAAGACAACCCTCAGACTTGTTGGACACAGATTGCGAGCCAGCCCCGCAAACCCTCTCGTTCCAGTTTCTTGCAAAACAGACGAATTGACGCCTCGAGCTCCCGCCAGAAGGAGGCCAAGCAGGCCCCAAGCCGATCGGATGATCAAAGCTTATACAGATGCATACAGAGTACTGCATAGACATGCTGTCGCAAATGTCACCTAGAAATCGCGAAGGACCTTTTGCTGTGTAGCATGAGGGTTATACATCGGGATGCAATCCCAAGGTATTCCTCGCAGTAATTTCGTCATCTGTGCTTGGGAAGCGTGGTGCCAGCTTTCTGTCTCCATTTTGTCCATTGCAGCGCCAATGTCCTGAAGGGAATCTATCCTTCATGACCGCTGAACATGTCTCACTGTCGTAGTGTACCTCTACTTGTGCTTTGCATTTCACAAATTGGTTGGGAGCGTTTCTGCGCTCAACAGAAACTTCACACAATATATACACGGAAAGACGAGGCTTGCAGGTGTTAGGGCTGAAGGCCCTATTGCTTCTGCTCCAACCCCTAAGCCTTTAAGCCCTAAGTCGCGAATTGGGGGTTTGCCGGATTTGCAGGAGTCAGGCTTCGGGCCATTCCTCAAACCCTCAAGGCCTGACTCCCGAGACTTAAAACCCTAAAGGCGCTAAGCCGACCTGGTTCCGCCAAGGTTGCCTTGGTCAAAGGCTGGTTGGTTGAATCTTTTCTTGACAGTGGACTGAAGACACAGTAACGGACACGGGAGGCAAGATTTACGGTTTCGTGGGTGGGGTTTTGAGGCTTAGAAGTTGAGAACGGGGAGCTTTGGTTGTTTTTTAGTTGCCCACTCGTTACTTCAAGCATGCAGCTCTTGAGAAACGAGCCTTTGCAACACCTGTCAGGAAACGTGCTTTTGTGTTACGAGAACCCCGGAAAATCCCGGTTTCGGGAACGGATCCACTGATCTACTGCGCCCCGAAACCCCAATTCTGAAAGACCATGCACCACGTCTTCCTCGAAGACCCTCTTTTTTGCAAGCCTTGTAGGCGGAACACGGAATCCAAAGCCATGAAGTTGTGCCAGTCGAGCTCCCAAGCCCAGAGCGGCCAAGATCGGGCTCCTTGAAGGTATCTCACAAAGTCAGCCGGGCAAACTAGACCCTCACGACCTCTAGGATTTGTCTTTGGTTTAGAATCAAGATTCGATTGGGGTAAGCCCTCTGGTACCAGTACCAAATTCAGCATCCCAAGGAGTCCCATGTCTTCATAGTCTCTGCGGCCTCGTCCATCCTTGGCTGTCTGTTCCTCGTGGAGATAGGCCGGGTTTCGGGTGTGCTCTTGCGATCTGTTTTGAGCCGTGGATGTTGAGACCGCATTGATGAGTTCCCGAAGCGTAGCGATGTCCCGCGCAAGTAGTAGTGACTTAGTAGTGGTAGGATCATATTCATGAGCATGACTTCACTCATGAAAGGAATCTGGACATGATGGTCCAGCTTGCCTATAAGGGGGCCTTTGGAAGGACTCACACCATAAACTCCGCAGTCAAATCAAGTCCAGCGACATTTGTGACCATTCAGGGGCCCAGGCCGTTCGCCTATCGTATCCTAGATGAGCCTCTTCAGGGTGCTCTCAATGTCAGGCTTACGTGGGATTACTGGTGATTTGCCTATGCAGTGGGGTCCTTGCCCTAGGCCCTCGGACCCACAACCGACCCTGCGTCACTGACCGTTTAAACCCGCAAAGTGTTGTGAAATTTGAAACTAGTTTTTTTCTATTTGGACTGCCGATCCGGGGTCTTGGACTTGCATGGGCTTGGGCTTGCAGGATTGATACTCCAGCACGTTTGCTTGCCTGTGGTCTCACTAGATGGTAGGTTGGGTCGTGGGCATTTACGGCTGCAGTGGTTTGGCGTTCCGCAGGGTTTGCTCGCAGAATCACGCAAATTCAGTAAACTCTCTGCCGTACACTTACACCTGCGTGGCAACTTTCTAAAACCTGCTGTTCCCAAGCAGAACCCCATCCCCGAAACCCTGCGATATTCGCTCCAGTTCCCACTCCGGGATGGACACTGCTCATCGCTGACTGCATCATCTACACGGGTGCTACGGCAGCTCGCTCAGTTTCAGGGATTCAGGTCGAACCTCAAACCCTAAAAATCAAGTCTAGATCCTGGACCCCTGCCATATCAGGTGTGCACACCTGTCTTGTGGCTGATAGCGACACCATACTGTACTGTAGTAGGTGGTAGACAAGCCTCCGAGACTCCAAGCCGCTGGCGACCCGAGGTTGCCAACGGCTTCGCCGAAGGCTGGGCCAGCCGTGCAGCGAAAGAGGGCACCAGCAACCGGACCGCTGAGAGTACGGTCTTCTGATCGGGTTCCGTTATCACCTTCAGAGGCGTCGACTTCAAAAAAGTGGCATGCGGGCTTCAACAAAGTTGTTTGCCAGCCAGAGTTCAACGTTTCTGGCTCGGGGCTTCCTAGGCTGAAGGTCTGTTCGAGTGTTGTTGGTCTGGGCCGCGAGTGTGTCCGCGTGATCCGCAGCCGAGGCTTCAGCAATGCCGAGTATCGGTTGCGGCAGCTGTCAGCAGCACCCCGTCTGGGTTTGTATTTTGGATTCGGACTTCGGGAAGCCTGTGTAGGTAGGTTGTTGGTTTAAGTATACCAGTACCCGCAACTTTACTACACGTAGTTCCAAGTACTTCTTGTGGGCAGGGGTACAGGCTCTTGTGTTGGGTCCACCCAGCTGGAGTATGGAGACTCTTGCTATTGTGAATTTTATTGCTGTGGTAATTGCCGCGATTCTTACGATAGTCAGTACAACAATAGCCACTATGATCATGTCTACGATTATGGCTATGAATATCGGTATCCTACTGGTTCTCGTAGGAGTAGTAGTAGTGGTCTTGGTATGCTAGTACTGGTACTAGTTACTAGTACTCACTAGTATCACTAGTAATATTGCTACTATTATGACTACGACTATTGGTTGTATTCACTATTACATACCATTACACGTATCGGTCCTTCTAAGAATATGGCTGATGCTACGGCTTCTGCTCCACTACCACAGTCACATCCACCCCTTAGTACTAGTCGTAGTCGTAGTCGTAGTCGTAGTAGTAGTAGTAGTAGTAGCAGCAGCAGCAGTAGTAGTAGTAGTAGTAGTAGTAGAAGAAGTAGTAGTAGTAGTAGCAGTAGTAGTAGTAGTAGTAGTAGTAGTAGTAGTAGTGGTAGCAGTAGTAGTAGTGGTACTACTACTACTACTACTACTACTACTACTACTACTACTACTACTACTACTACTACTACTGTCTACTACTTCTACTACTACTACTACTGCTACTACTACTACTGCTGCTACTACTACTACTAATACTACTCTACTACTACTACTACTACTACTACTACCACCACTACTACTACTACTACTACTACTACTACTACTACTACTACTACTTCTGCTACTACTGCTAGCAGCAGCAGCAGTAGTAGTCGTCGTGGTCGTAGCAGTACAGTAGTTCTAGGAGGAGGAGTACTGCAACGGCAATGGCTATGGCAACAAGTGCTACCACGACTCCTACTGCGGCTGCTGCCGCCCGCTTTAGAGCCATTGCGGCAGCACAGATCTCCGATGCCTGAGGTGACAGTCAGCCGATTTATGGGAGTCTCGGCAAGATTTGTTATTATCCCCCAAAACTAGACGCCGACATCCGCCTGAACCCTATAAGTTTGAAATCCAAAGATCCAAAGGTGGGATGCCAGACATTGTTCACAGGGTGAGGGTATGGCAGGGTTAGGACGGTTGGGAATTTGGAATTGTACACATGTCCTCGAACCCTCCAATGCACGCCAAGCTAGATGCCCTCAGGTCGACTTCACCAAATTTCGATACGAACAGGCTAGCAAGGCTGCCACCCTAGACATCAAAATGCAGTCGAGGCCTGAAAACCAAAGCAAGGCACAGTACCTTTGAAGCACTCGTCTACCCACAGCGCAGAAACTCGTCGTCTGATCACTAAACCCCGAAAAGGTGACTGCACAAAGCTAAATGCAGACACTCCGCCAAGTTATAGGTTTATATAAATATAAATATAAAAAAATAAGTATATATATATATATATATATGGATAGATAGATAGTTGTGCCCCGGCGTGCCACCCCCCTTCCCTTCATGCGATCATCCCCACTCCCTTCACTGTGGAACGGCTGGGGGCTTCAGTTTCGGAGTTCCAGCTCTGGGACAGGGGCCCTGAACATAGGCGCCTAAGGCCCCAGACCCGTGTATTTGGGTGGATACCTTTGGGGCGGGATGGGGCAGAACGCACAGCACACAACCATCTATCTATCTACATAGCTTATGTTGTTCTTTCAGAGGCCTCGGGACATAGCAACTTTGTTTTTTTCGTGAGATGCGGCCCTAATGTATGCAACCTTTTGTCATTAAAAGCTAGCTGGTGCTCTGTCCTAGAAAAGCTGCAAGAGTAAAGACTAGAAGGCTAGCAAACTCGAGGAAACAAAGTTGCTCTGTCTCGAGGCCTCTGTACATACATACATACATACATACATACATGTAAAACTCTAAGCCTAGTGAGCTGAGAGACGACGGCTCGGAGCAGAAAGAGGCGACCCACCTTAACCAAAAGCTAGTGTCAAGACCCTGCATGAACAAACACTCAAGATTCCAAAGGTCCCATCGTCGGTCGCTTCCTGGTAGACTATGGGGGCCGCCGCCGGGCGTCAACGTTGCCCAGGGTCAACGGTTGGGGTGCGTTCGGGCTTGGCTGGGTTCCTGGCCTGACTGGCCTGCGGGGAACACACAGAATCCCTAAAGTGAATCAGTTGTTACATTCGGTATGTTGAACCGTAGAAACCGCAGATGAGAGGTGCTTGATCGATTGGAGCTGGCTGGATGCTTCAGACCGTTTTCGATTATCTTGTTACGTGTTTCAGAGTGTTCACTGGTACTGAAGTTTTAAGTTTAGGCAGCATGTGCGTCGCTGCATGTGGTACTTCTCGGGGTTAATCGTGACGAAGACAGATGCCAATGAGGCATGGGCCCAGTAGAGCCAAGTAGAAAAGTAGCGCAGGACTTGTAATCTCTGCAGTGACAAATATGTTGTTCATCGCGAGTGCACGTTCCGTATCGAGAACTTTCTGGAACTTGTTGTTTGTTCGCCTGCGTTTGTCGCAAGAATTTGTCATCCACGAATCAAGCCACTCCGAGGAAACGTCTACGCAGTAGCCCAGCTGGTTATGTGCTTGATGGGAACGAGGACCTCCGGCCAGCAGTTGAAAGTTGACACTGGTTTCATGGTCCGAACCTACACACACTCACCCGCGGCGATCCACCCGCAGACAGCTCGCGCGCATAAATACAGACGAACTCGCCCCTTCAAGCAGCAGCTGCGAAGCTGAGGAGGCTGACGCGAGCACGCCACGCGTTCAGTTCCTTCGCGCAGGATGCTGAATTGTGTTTCTTCTTCCGTGCGGAAGGTAGTTGGTGTCGTTTCCATGACTTCGCTGCTGTGCAGCTCAAGCCAGTCAGTTTGCCAGACCTAGCACACCATCCCAAGCATCTTCCTGATGGCGTCGCGTCAGAAAGGAACAATTATTGAAAGTGGAAGCGCGGCAGTGGATCGAAAAAGATGTGCCTGCATCAACAAGATCTTGAGCTTCGATGGAACGATCGACTACCAGGCGGGTTTTGACTTCTTCTTTGAAGTCGGTGTGGGGAGTCGCCCGAAACGCCTTGTCAATCACTTGATAAGTTTGGATTGCCTGCGTGACTTGGATCGCATCCACCAAGTTCTCTTCCCGGATTCGAGGCCAACGCGATCGATCCAGGTCTCCACAGCCCGCTACATACATCATGTACCACGGAACCTCTCAAGAAGCTGCAGCACGATAGAGAAAGATGGGTTTGTTCCATCCGAGGGAGGCATGCTTGGAGAGGGTGTCTATGTGTCGAGAGATATCGAGAAAGCCAAGAAATACGGTCCTGTGGTGCTTGAGGTCGCTGTTAAGGTCGGCCGAGTCAAGCGGATCGACAGGCAGGGTCATCCCTTGCAAAAATCCTGGTCGCAAAACGGCTACGACACTGCGTGGGTACCCCCCGGTTGCGGAATGGTGCGGTCCGGTCGAGAAGAGGACTGCGTACTTGACCCAGAGCGTTTGATGATTCTTCGTCGTGTACCTGGATAGGTATACATGTTCAAGCTGTGGGAACTGCATACTTACCTGGAAAGTGCCGAATCGCGTCAAACAAGAGTGCAAGTGAAAAGACAAGCTCGCGCGAAGTCTTGTGTCGTGGTCTTTTGCGGCCAGACGAGTTCTCAACTCAATGGTGGCTTTAAACAGGCCAGGTCCATCCAGGCCATGCAAATGCACTCGGGGCACACCAGCCCTTTGAAGGTTGTGATACGATATGCCAACTGAGCCTGCTGTTGCCTTCAACAATACGAGTTTGGGCTCTAGGAGAAGATTCAGGCTTCAAGGACAGACTTGTGGATTTCCGATGAAGACCAGTTTAGCCTGGCAGACATCAAAATCGAGCCTGTGGATCTTGAGGGCTGCTCACTGTCGCGAATTAAGAACCACCAGATGTCAAGTCGCGCATCACCAGCAATGAAACACGACTCAGAGCACGAGACCTCTTCGTTAACAAGGTTCTGGGCATTCCGTTTTCTTCATGACCTCTGCTCTGAACCAATAATTGCTCGCAACAGGTGCTGAGAGACAAGCACAGCAATCATGCAAGAGGTTGCTGGCTTCCATGACGCATGTCACTTGATTGAATCCTGGTCGAGGACGGTTTACAAGACGGTGGGTCTGATCTGGCGCTGGAACCGCGCCAACCCCCAGGTGAGTGCCAAGGACACAGAGGCCATCTGGGCTCAAGGGTTCAGGGCTGTGTTCCTGGTGATGGGAAGCTCTCGATCCTGAAGGTAGTAGCGCACCGACTCTGCAGCTAGGACCCAGAGTAGGCCCTTATTCCCTTTTTTAGGGTTCAGGTTCCCTTATAATCCCCTTTAAACCAAAAAGGGCATCCTTTTTATGCCTGGGTTACTCTTGGGTCTAGGCAGGCCAGGCCCCACGACTTTATCAACGGATTTCGAACCCCACTCGTACTCGGAATGTGGGAATGGTGGATGTATGGTGCTTAGGCTACGGCATGCTGCCTTGTGCGCAACCGTTGCAGAAGCTGCGGAACGGCATATGCAGGTACCATCCGAAGCCTTCGAACCCTGGTTCTGGCCGCACAAAGCCCTAAACATCAGTCCAGAATCTCGAAATATCGAATCGAAGCTGAACCCAAAATAGTTCAGCATGGCGGTAGTTCGCAATGAGCCCCGCCTCACGTACCCAACACGAGTTCCACAACCTCAAGTGTTTCATGTGTTCCCTGCTTGCCAGGTCCCGGCTGCAGAGAAGCTTCTCAAGGGCGAGGTAGCCGGAGTTTCTTTGGCAGGTTAAGCCCTAGGATCTCGGGATTCGACGTTTCGACTATATCCTGCTTCCTGGGATGTTGATGGTTTGTTTGTTTGGCTGATAAGGTGTCTGGAGGCGTACGTAGAAGTTGTCCGCGAAATCAGGTGTTTCATGATATATAGACTGTTCGAGACAATTGGATTCGGAGTTCTATGATGTAGCCTTGAGCTTAAGATGCTGCATGGATGTCGTAACGCAACTTAGAAGTTATTTCCACTCAGGGTGTGAGAAGTCGAGCGATTCCAGTCCTTTCCGCATTAAACGATGAGCATTGACAGGCGCTGCCATCGAGCATTCGTATCGTTGCTATCCTTACTTGTCGATACGTTTCTACGCGATGCACACAAGAGACAGTTTCATGTCGTCGTTTTCATCACCGTCGTCACCATGGTCACCGCCATCGTAATTTTCAATAACCACTACCGACGCAACTACCACTACCAGACCACTATGAATAGCACTGGCACGAGCGCTGGCACTACTAGTACCTGTACAAGTACCAGCACCAGTACCGGCACCAGTAGGGGCAGGAGTAGTACTCCTACTACGACTATCACTACCACTGCTAATAGTAATAATAGTTACTACTACTACCACTGTGCTTCTTCTCTGACGACGACTACTACGACTTCGACGACGACTGCTACTACTGCTGCTACTACAAGTGCTGCTAGTGCTACTACTACTGCTACTGCTACTGCTACTGCTACTGCTACTGCTACTGCTACTGCTACTGCTACTGCTACTGCTACTGCTACTGCTGCGACTACTGCTACTACTACTACTACTACTACTACTACCACTACTACCACTACTACTACTACTACTACTGCTGCGACGACGACGACTAGTACTGCTATACTGCTGCTGCTCCGGCTACAACAACTGGTAAGAGTGGTCGCAGTCGTCACCGCACAACGTCGCAAAGTGCGTTGGATAGAGGTCGGGACAGACTGCGCAGATTCCATGGAGCAGGAGCAGTCCAAGATCAAGAACGGATCTCCGATCGAAGCTGCTCCGGAAGACCAATAGAGGCACGAGTCCGAAGATGCACATTGCATAGTCATGTTGGCACGTTCGCGTTCTTATTTTTAATCACCCATAGTGGTAGTGGGATTGGTAGTGGCAGTGGTAGTAGTCACTTCGAACTTAGTAGCAGTAGTAGTAGTAGTAGTAGTAGTAGTAGTAGTAGTAGCAGGAGTCGTAGTAGTAGTAGTAGTCCTCGTCGTGGTGGTAGTTGTTGCGGCGGTCGTTGTGGGTGTAGTAGTGGTAGTAGCAGTACTAGTAGTAGAAGTAGTAGTAGTAGTTGTTGTTGTAGTAGTAGTTGTAGTAGTAGTGGCAGTAGTGGTAGTAGTAGTGGTAATAGTAGGAATAGTAGTCGTAGTAGTAGTAGTAGTAGTTGTAGTAGTAGTAGTAGCAGCAGTAGTAGCAGTAGCAGTAGCAGTAGCAGTAGCAGTAGCAGTAGCAGTAGCAGTAGCAGTAGCAGTAGCAGTAGCGTAGCAGTAGCAGTAGCAGTAGCAGTAGCAGTAGCAGTAGCAGTAGCAGTAGTAGTAGTAGTAGTAGTTGTTGTTGTAGGAGTTGCAGCAGCAGGGCTGGTAGTGGTAGTAGGAGGAGGAGTACACGTAGCAGCACACATAGTAGAAGTAGTTGTAGTAGTAGTAGTAGTAGTAGTAGTAGTAGCAGGAGTAGTAGCAGTAGTAGTAGTAGTAGTAGTAGTAGTAGTAGTCGTGATGGTGGTGATGGTTGTGGTTGCAGTTGTATCTTTGTCGTTGCAGCAGAAGCAGTCGTAGTAGTCGTAAATCATACCCCTTGCTCAATCGTGATCGAACTTGGTGGCGACGGCGGTGTGTGTGATTCGGCGCCATGATTATCGGACCGCAGTGTTGTTATTGCCGCCTTCGTGTGCAACAAGCGCCGGTAGTGCGGGTTGTCGACGTGTCTTCGTTGTTGCTGCTTGTTCTCATCCCAGAATCTGGCAGCAGCGTGCGGGTTAAAGATGCACCCGTCGTCAAATATGTTGCTTCGTGTTGGGTTCATCTTATCCTGTTTACAACCGCAAGCATGCATCTTTGGAGGGAGGGGCATGCAGCACTGATGTACGGAAGAGCTGTATGTTAGCTTGGAGGCTTGGGCCGGGATTGAAGAATTGAGTGGCCTTGAAGCTGTCTGGTTAGAGGGGATTTAGGGTTTCGGACGTAGGGCTGCAGTAGGTTGCATTCTCGCATTCAGAGTGCTCGCAACCTTCAGTATGCTTCCGGGTCCTTTCCGGAGTTCGGCGCGAGATGGTTTGGAGATGTGTGCATTCCTCAAATCTTTCGCCCTGAAGTCAGTCTTGCCGTTTGTTGTGTCGCAGGGCTTTTCTGGCTTACCCTTTAGGGATTACCAGTAACATAAGCTGACAAACTACGAAGAAGCGGACCTTCTCACCACCACACTTTATCGACCTCTCACATTACATCTCGATAAACAGACGGGCCACCAACTGTGAGAGATTCAGAAAGTCAGGCACATGATTTGTGATCAGCTTTTCGGTTGCTTGAAGGGTTGGCTTCAGGTTGTCGGCGCCATATAGTTGCTCCGACTCTGGACCTGTCGGCAGGCGCGACGGTGTTTTGCTTCTGGTCTCTGAACGACCCGGAGCCATGATGCTGCAAGTGGCAGGAGTAGGAACTTGCCAGAATTTGTTGTACCTTAGCCTTAGACAACGTTTTTGTGGCACGCAGCCACGAGCCTGATTGGACCTATGGCGACTGCTATCACAGCTCGAAAAAGGCCGGCAGGGTGCGAGCCTTTTGTCGGTGTTTTGCAGATGTGTTGAGACGCACCTGAAGCAAACTGGTTCTGGTACACGGCGGTGGACCCCGAAAAACGATCATTCCGAATCTGACAGGAAGCTTCTCTCCAAGCCCCGATTGGGTCGACCATCCCCAGCACAAAACATCTTCCCCAGCCGTGTGATTCTGGGTGCTTCGCTTTCCTGTCTGCTAGGCGGAGCCCTAGACCGAGGGAGGGCTACTGATAACTTTGTGCCTTGAAAGCCAAGAAAGCCCAAAAGCCTTGGCACCCCCAAAGCTCGTAAGATTTGCAGTGCACCCTCAAGCTTCGGGAATCTTTGCAGTCCCTGAACCCGCACAGGTTGAGGTTCAGTTTGCCACAGCAGGGCCAGCCCAAACCTTAAACCCAGAAATCCCAATCATGCCAAGCAGTCCTAAACCTTTTCAATATCGGTTAGATGCTTTGCTGGAACCTAGTCTCCGACACTATCCAATATGGCATGGTTTTAAGACTGTTGGCAGCGGTTTCGGATACAGGGCTTCGGCCTCAAAGTCTTGTTGGGCTCTCCCACGTTTCCGGGCTCAGGGTTGAGCCATATATGGAGCCCCCAAACACCTCTGGACTTCCTGGAATACTAGTGCTCCATGGCGGAGAATCTAGATGATCAGTTGGTGTGCCAGATATGTTTGGCTCCTGGCTGTTTACGCACGTCGCCGACCCAAAAGGATCCAAGCCTCATGTGTTGTCCGAACCTTCACCATGGACTCGAATCCTGATTGGACCTGAGTAACACGAGCATTTCCTGGGGCCAGGTATGCCAGCCGGTGCAAGTCTGTTGTGTGAAGCGCATGTGCTTCGCATACGTGGGTTTGTAGCTTGCAGTTTTTTTGGGCAGGGGGTGTGCCATGCTGCAAGGTTGCGATGGGTGTTTAATGGATTCATTGCACAGGGTGCGATGTGAGACTTCCGGCGTATACGGCCCGAGAAGGGAAAAGCGCGGCTTGCCGAGTGTTGCGAGTGTTACTGCCTAATACTGGGAGTGCTTTGCAACGAAGACGTGCGCGGGGAGCCACGGTTCAGGCGAATTGATTCAGAAGTTTGGCCTAAATCCCACTGGGGATCACGGAGAGCAATGGCTGTGTGTTGGCAGCTTCGTGTGCGAAAGTCCTTTGATCAGGGCTCCAGGCGCAGCCGTCGAATGACGTTCTGCTTGGTTTTCCTGACATGAGTTGATCGCATCCCCGACTCGCCATCGCCTTGGCATGGCTCGGCCCAAATCAGCCCTGATGCATCAGCATGCAAGGGTCTAAGGTCAGCATGGTCAACGATCGTCCTAGGACAAGAGGCAAGAGGTGCATGACATTTGTGAAGAAGTGCATGCAGGAGACTCCAAGTTGCAAAGGCCTGACATGACGGTTAGGTTTTGCTCAAACATTCAAGGCTTGATTTCCGATAGACTCGACCTCATTCGGGATGCCCCTGCATGTCATGTCTGTTCAGCATTCTCGGGTTCTGGGCACCCACAGAAAATTGAATCCTTCGCCCTCCAACCCTAGCTCGAAAGCGCTGGATGAGGCATACTTAGAGGTCTTCTAGGACTTTGAGAGTTGGGGCATCGCCTACGAGTTTGGCGGCCTGTCAAAGGTATCCGAGCCATGGCCGGTGACAAGGCTCGTGTGTGCATCCTACAGCCCTACTTGCCCAACAGCGAAGTCTGAAACGGGGCACGTCTAGCTTTGCATTGCGTATCAGTCTGCGAACTCAGGGAAACAAAAGAGGCCCGTGTCCCAAACCTGAACTCGTAA